CCTTGGCCTCAACAACACCATGGGATTAAAAAATTAAAAAAAAATAAAAAAATAAAAAAATAAAAAAAAATAAAAAAATAAAAGATGCACTACAGCCAACCGGGGGGGAACCGGCCCGGTCGACCGGCCGGTAGGACCGGTCCGGTTCCGGTTGGGGGAGGACCCCCCGGTCCTACCGGGTTTTTAGCACTGCCTCGAACAAATTATGGGAGTTCATTTTTCTAGGGGAAGTGCTGCCGAAATTTTGTACTACATCACAATCTTAGTCAACTTTCAACTTTTACTTGAGCCAAAACAAAAAAACTTTCTTGTGGATTCGATATGATATGAATTCTAAGGGGCTACTTCCCGAGAGGAAGTAACGCCGAAATTTTATCATCTTCCAGTAGATTTCTGAAGTTCTCCTTATTGAAGTTAAGATAGGATCATGACGGACAGTGAGGATGTTGGAGCTATGTCAACCTGTGTGTGTGACTACAGGTTAATTTTACTGAAAGATTGTTCGAGAAGGACTCTTAAGGACTATACAAGACTACATTATCTGTTATCTTCTGATAACAGGTGGGTTTGCCAACTCAACTCTCACTTACTCTTTGTCGCGAGGAATACTGGTTTGTATAGGACCTCAAAGTTCACTCAGACCGTAACCCATAATGCATCACCCATACTGAGCACGTAAAGCACGGAACATGTCCAAGAATGCCGGGGACTTCACAGGTAGACATCCGCAGCTGAGGTCAAGAGTCAACAATGACAGGCTCATACAAATGGGCAAGAGAGGCAAGGGCCACCTACTCTTGGTTGAAGACGATTCAGGGTTTGCGGTGCTCACATAACATAGTCCAGAAGACTCACATTGCATGAGTTGGGTAAGTGGACGATAGAATTTTTCGCATTGCTTCTTCTGCCATCCGATCAGCGACAGTAACAGGGCCTGATACCAAAATTTCGGAAAATCGCCCCACCAACCCCGACCCCACTTTTCACCTCAGCTCCACGATCCTTGCAAAGGAGAAATTATCAACACAGCATGGAAACACAAGTCAAGGAGGAGAATGGTCAGTGCAAGATGGACACACAGCACAAGCATTACCTTCTTTTCCTTATTGGACTATTTCTCGACTTATTTGTGTCATCCTCGCGCAGCCATGCCAACCTTTCTCTGTAACGAATGTCCTGAAGGACAGTGCAGCCATTACCTCAAGAACAACTCTAGTCAAATTGCACAAAGGAAGTGAGCATGCAAGAACCAGAGAGAGAGCGAGAGAGGGGAGAGAGAGAGAGAGAGAGAGAGAGAGAGAGAGAGAGAGAGAGAGAGAGAGAGAGAGAGAGAGCATCATCTGCATACTGAACCCGGGCCAGCCTGGCGAAAATCAGGTCTGAGTTTCTGACAGTGTGGCTGGATATAGTAATACACTAGCATTCCTAGTGCGGGCAGAAGCCCGCACAGACATGGCAAGAGGATCAATTCCGTTGAAATGAGTAACAAGTGCCATACAGAATCATTTCTTATCAATTTTGAAAGACACAAATCAGTTCTACAGTCCAGAATTGACATGAGCAGCATGGAATTCTAATGCATGCTCTCTCTCTCTCTCTCTCTCTCTCTCTCTCTCTCTCTCTCTCTCTCTCTCTCTCTCTCTCTCTCTCTCTCTCTCTCTCT